TGATGAGAAATTTCTCCTATGTATCTGATGTTGCTGAGGGTGAGTTTGCGACATTCTCTTGCACCATCGAGAAGACCAGTGGAGACATACCATGGAGAGTTGGGGCCTACACCGCGCAGTGCTGTGGTGGCACAGTGGCCCTCCCGGGAACTGGTATGAACATCAACTGTACCATCACCGAGACAGAGTGGGAGGTGGTGGAGGTGTTGGGTATTGAGGCCACTCCCGATCTGGACAGGATCCCGGTGGAGTGTGCTGGCCTCATACAAGGGACTCAGCCACAATGAGTTCAGTCAGTTTGAACTCATTCATGTCCACCCTCTGTGGTCTGGAGATGTCGGGACAGCAAATTCCAATTAGTTGTAGCTGCGCATGTCGTTCTGCCATTTTACATGTACTCTCCGGCATTCAGCCTCGCGGCATATAAGATTCTATGCCTTCTATATAGGCGTGTTCTTTCGAGTTCCTTATCAGATACTTCGCACAATACTTATCTAATCATGCATAATTATTATGCTGTACGTATATTATTGCCTTTTCTGGAACATTCTCTGTGATATGTATTAGCATAGCCTCCAAGCAGTGTTTAGTAGAAAGAAGCCTGATTTAAAGTATTTTAGATATATTTGTCAGTATTGCACACACTGATATATGACATATTTTGTTTGTATAAAGTGGTCACACAAAATATACAATAATAGGTACAAAAATTTACTTTGACTTATAGATACATTTCTTTCATGTGTCTTGTAATATAATTTTGACAACTGTTTGATAATTTATGGAACTGGCACCCAATCAAGAAGATATCGTGCTTCGAGAGAGTGATTATCGGAAATCAGTTTTATTCTGCACACATGAACCCTCTCACAGTCAGCATTAGATGTATAATTATAGGAATGGGCAGTAATCTGAGGGCAATTGTAGGGCTCCTCTATTATACTCGTGGTTATAATTATGCATACTCTTGGCCCAACCCATCAATTAGCAGTAACGCTCATGCACAGTGCGCCGAGGGTTTGCACTTGAGCACTTTTCATTATGTCATACGCCATTACTGTATCACTTCCAGGAAAATTAAATTACACCAAGTTCATCTTAGCACAATGTATGTACATTTGTAGTGGCGCAATAGAAAGACTGCCAATAATCTTCACTGTTCAGAAATCAATAATACATAAGAGTTTATCGGAATTGAATGGCACTAATACGCAGACCAATACTGTCCTTCCCTATCTCTGATACCTACGTAGAAAGAAGGGAGAGGGAAAGGGTGGGAGGGAGGGAGTAATGGAGGCAAAATAGAGAGGGAGGGAGAAGGAGGAATGGAGGAGGGAGGGACGAAGGGAGGCAGGCATGAATGGAGGAAGGGGAAACAGAGAAGCATCAAAGTGCAAATACACGAAATTATAAGATAGGGCACTTGTAATAAGTGAGTTGTGAAGACTCACTCCCGGCCACCGATAAGCACGTGAGCTAACCAGACAAATCTTGCAGACTGTTCCCTTGTAGTCAGGCATGTAGCTGGCTCCACACAGTGGACACTTCTCCTGCGTCTTGCCCCTGTAATTACAGGAAATTATGAAACCCCTAAAAACCACAGGACGCCTATTATTATTTAAATGGCGTACCTATAGATGGGTTTGTGGCTGGCTCCACAGACGGAGAAAGGATTGTGTTCATCGTACAGCAGTTTGTGGGCATCAGTTGGGTTTTTGTCACAGGCCTGCAGGATCTTCCTTGTCTGAAGACACACACACAGACAGACAGACAGACACACAACCAATGAGCTTAGGTACACGCACGCACACAACCAACCTGTGCAGCTATCTCAGCCTTGGGTCCAAGTTCTAAGAGCCGGCGAGCAAACGAACCAGCAGTTTTGAAATTCTTTAGCTGAATAAGTTAGCAAACAAACAGTATGTAATAAGTATTGAGACAGAGAGAGAGAGAGAGACCTTGTAGAAGAGGTTGAGAGCAGTTCGAAGAGTGAGGATGAGATGGATGGGCTGGAGATCACAGTGAGTGAAGTAGGCCGCCATCTGAAGTGTGGTAAGAAAAAGAAAGGGTGCGGCATTATTGGAGCGTCTACTTTTGTTGGATAGAGAGTCAATGGATGAATAGTGTCCGCGATTTCAATGTAATGGTTGGCATGATTTCAGTTTTGAAAGCAGAGAACCCCCAGTCTTACCTCACACTGTCTCTTCTGTTCCTCAAAGTTGCCCTGCGACAAACAGCAAACACCAGGTCACACACAATACAGGAGAAAAAATTTGGTTGATTGTGGGTAAACATACCTTTGGCAGTTCCTTCCTGGCCATCTCCCATGACAGTCCCCTGGATGTACTCCCTGCAGATTGTCAGTAACTGCTGGGCCTGAGCAGGAACAAACAGACGGTGTAGCAGTAAGAGAGGAGGTATATAAGTAGGCAGAGGGACGAAGAATATACACCAGAGTTAATATGTCCAGTTGACAAAGTCCCAACTCCCAGAGACAGCATGTTTCTTTATGTGCTATTGTACACATACTGATATGTATGTACATAGCTACATACAAACTGTGCGGTGCGAACTCTGACCTCCTCCAGTTCAGACCTGTTGTCCACCACCAGTAGAGAGAGGGAGAGGAGTATCTCTCTGAACTTGGTCACTGCATCACTGAACTTGCCTCCTGTGGTGGCCTGGTAGGCTCCCTGCACAGGGAACATGATGGGACAGGAGATGCAGTACCATACACACGAAAGCAAGGCACATTTTACCTGGAGACGGGTGACCAGAGAATCTAGTTTCAGTCCTAGGGCTGGTAGGCCGTTCCTTGTCCCTGCTTCTTGCCTGAAACACCAATGTTACACATGAAAAGCACTGAAGTAGTGCAAGAATAAGCGTCGACACACAGACAGACAAACCAACTACTGTAACCCTCGCTGCGCATGCGTGCCGAGGGTTAATGAACTGCACAAAGAGCTGTTAGCCAAACTATTCTATTACACATAGGTACAAGCAACTCAGAGGGTGACAGGGTTGGATTCAAGGTATGGCCCACTGCCCAGAAGGGACTCACCAGTTCCTGAGTGGGTAGGTGAGGAGGGGAGGGAGGAGAGGGATGCCCGTAATGGCCGTACGACTGTGGCTGAAGGTCAGTAGAAACAGCGACTTGTAGGGCTCAAAGTTAACCACTCCAACTTGATATGTGAGAAGCTGCACACAGTGACAAACATGTCAACACAAAGTTCTAAAGGTATATAGCAGTGTTTCCGGCAGGGTAACATTCAAACAGGGTGCTGAATTATTATCACCTCAGCTTTCAGGCTGAAAACATTACTTGCTACACACTTCCTGTTGGGAAATCCCCTCATTTCAAGTGCTACTCTATATGCAGCACACGCAGTGTAACCGCGCTAGTTGCATTTTACGCATGCACAATAATTGTACACGCCCATTTTCGGGATTCTTCAACCTCGGCGGAGCGCCCGGTTTTTATAATGCTGCGGGAAACACTATATAGTACAAACACAGGCACGTATGTACAAGCTTCAGGCAAAGGCTCAAATAATGGAGTCTGAAACATTATGTCAGAGTGTGTTCTACATAGGACTCACTCTCATGGCACTCTCAAAGGCACCAGCAGTCACACTGTCTCCTGGGAGCTGGGACTTTGTCGCCCACACCTACAGTAGTAGACTAGATAAATGTATTGGTGGAGATGATGGAGGAAATTCAAATGCCGTGGACAAACAGTGTGTTGTGAGTACACACTTTTGGAAAGACAAGGAAGGCAATAAAGACTACTTCTTAGTACTTACACTAGAGGACTGGCTATAAATGACACGGAGGGGTTTTGAACAGATTTACCACAAACAAAAAAGTATAATGTGTTCTGCTTGTTATGCACAATCTGTGAACTTTACTGACAAGATACTGTCACACTACTTCATACCTGAGAGGGAGGAGATCCTTTGGTGGGAGGAACAAAGTAACCCTCCCCTTCAGAGGTTGCTGGCCCCACGTCACCAATATCCTCCGGAATATCGAGATCACATCCACTCCCAGCCTCCACCCCTCCCTCCTCCCTTCTCCCTCCTCCCCTCCCTCCCTCACAGCTCCCCCTCCTCCTCCTCCTACGTCCTCTGGAGGACAGACAACGCAAGTAACATAGACATATCAGCCTACATAACTGCCTCAGAATTCCATAGATTGTATATCTATACTAGGATATGGCATTGTGAACTGATGGGCAGTAAATGGCATTTCCCCATTTCTCTGCCTGAACGTCATTCAAATATACTTTTTGTACTCTACAGTATACACTGTCCAAGAAAACCCAAAGGTGGAGGTCAGAATGTTAACGAGAGACACAGGAGAGACTCTAACAGCAGGAGTTCATACCATCATCCAGGAGAATGTCGACGTCATCTCCCCAGCCTTGTTTCCTCCAACTCATCTCCCACCACCTCCTCTGCTGTCATCCCTGATGCTGCACACACACACACACACACACTTATGTAAGTGCTATTTTCCAGTAGCCAACAACATCTAGACCAAACCACCCTACCCATCATGAAGGTGCCCCGGTTTCTGTCAAGACACCACAACAAACTACAGTCTCTCAGTATAAAGCAGCATATCTTGTACCACCTTTCATCTTCATGTGACCCTCAAAGATCCCTTGCTGACAGTGAGCAGAGGCCAGCCAGAGACGTTTGTGGCTGATGGCTGGAGGAGGGAGGAGGAGCTTGGAGCTGGGGTGGACCTCTGGCAGCTGAGTGGAGAGGGATCAGAATGGAACAAAACTGAAAGTAAGAAAAGAACCAGTTTTTGGATTACTTACACCTGGTAAGGAAACCGTAGTCAGTGGAAAGGTTTTCTATTGACTAGACCACACGTGGGACATCCAACGCTACGTGTATATATGTACACTACATCAGACTGACGCAATACAATATCGTTGTGACTTCTTGTGGCCTAAGATACACAGAGCAAGAGGACCTGCTCGAGGTATATACAAGCCTGTTTCTAATTAGCATATTGGCTTTTTTCGCTCGTGTTTCACGCCGTAACTCTCGAACATAGCAATTTCACATGTTGTGGAACAGACAGACGCAGACAGACAGACGACAGACACACATGGCAACTACAAGCACCCTCGCTGCGCATGGCATGCCGAGGGTTAAATACCCACATATCCAAGGTCTATAACATCACTGTATTCCACGTGTCACACATGCTAGGCCCACCCAGTACACAATCCCACCTTCTCCAGGGTAGTGCTGGAGGGTCTCGGCATGGACTGATCTTCCTCGTCAGGTCATGATGGCAGCTGTCAGGTAGGCCAGGACTCTGCAGACACACAGAAGTGTGTACAATACCCTATACCAGGATTGTATACAATCATGCACTTGCAGATGGCAGAATATACTCTCCAAGTTTTGTGTCCTCACAAAGTTGTAGGTGTTATCCATAACAGGAGAAAGTATTCATTTCTCTTTGACTTACTACCCTGACCAACAGTCCTCAGTAGTTTATAGCTCTCTCTGTCACGTCTCCAGTGTAGAGAGCATTGTGGTACTGACTGCTCACAATCCTTCCTGATCTCAGCTACACAACATCATCACAACACACCAGCTTAGTGTACTTATGTACTATCGCGCTGCCTGAGATGTTTTACCAATTTTTGTCATCTTCTTGAGCTTCTCCATGTTGCCGGTGATGAGATAGAGGAACGATAGTCGCTCAAAGTTCTTTGTGCGCTGGTAGGCCATCTCCACAATCTGCAACACAACAAATATGCATACAGTCATTATCCAAGGGGCACTGCACTATCATGAGCATGCCTGAGCTACTGTACTTCTCCTCCACCGGCCCTTCAGAGGTAAGGTATGGAGAGCCTTCCCCTAAGACGGCCATTGAAGCACCTCTCTCGCTGAGCAAACATGCATGCTCAAGGACTGTTCACTGCATGCTGTCATCATTCATGTATGCACTACAGGGAGAACTCTAGTAAAGCTAGTACATAGTATCCTGTGTGTTTCCGTGAGCCAGTGCTGCATCAGCAAGTCGCTCTCCCAGCAGTTGCCTTGTCGTCCAGAGCACGGGCTGCCTCCAGAGCCACCTATATATGTATGTACATAAACACGTGATGCCAGAGAGAGAAGTTGCGGTAATCCCTATGCTCTGCTGATGAGGGCCAACAAGCCCGAAACAGCTGTCCAGAGCTCCCCATCTTTTTTCTCTTGGCATCACATGGTATTTTCTACACATGTAACATAGCATTATACATATGTAATGTATGAGCACAACATAGTTTGCAAGCTCTACAACGGTAACTAGGAATTGACTGTCTTTTGTCCTCCACCCCCCACCAGCTTGCAAAAGTGTAAAAGTGTAATGACACCCTAGTGTGATTTAGTAAAAGTCAATCCTCCTTTAGAAAGTAAACAGACGAGGATTACACACACAGTGTTGTCTGAAAACAGTGAAAGAGGGAAGAGAGCTCACATCAATGTTGCCACACTCGAGGGCGAGGGCAAACTTGGTTCTCTCGTCCTTGACAAAGTGGAGGGCCACCTCGGGGTAGCCTTTCTGCTGGAGATAGGCTATGATACTCTGGCCCACCAGCTTGGCACTCCGCACCATGTGCAACACCTGGCAATAACACATCACATGCACATGTTACAATTCAACACAAGGAAAACATTCAGAAAGCACAGTATATACATCATACAACCGGTTGCGTGTACACATGATTGAGTTTTTGTCTGCAGCAGTCAAGCTTCTGCAGTAGTATGTATAATGCAGCGAGCATCGTATACAAAAAAAAGGAAAATAGAAAGAAATAGTCATCACTCTTATGGCAACCATTGCAAGGGATGTGAGAGAATAATTTATGCTGTAGAATCCTTGCACCACCTGCCGTGGTTTCTAGCACGCAGCAGATACAACTGTTTCCTCATACAACTGTTTATCACACACATCACGACCAATACGGGTGGTGAAACATTCACACAACCTGCCTGAGTGTCTATATAACTACATGAACCGCGTCGCATCATTTGGCGTGTGATGAGCGTGCCAGTTTGAAACTGGATACTGTACTGCTGTGGGGTGTCGAGCCACGAGAGCGCCCGCGTCTCTTTGTGCGTCTCTTGTCCAGGCAAATGTATCGCGTGTCCCCTCTCACCACGGCTGATAGTAAGATGTGGCAGATCACGGTCCTGAAATCAGTGATCATACCATTGTCACTGGGGGATACAGAAATAGTAGTTTGCACCACCGTAAAACCAGGAAACACACGGATAGAGTGTCACGGTAATAAGTTAGCTGCGAGAGATATCTACGTGGAAGTGGAAAAAAGGGTAGCAAACATCAAGAGTGGAACGTTAACTGTAAGACAAAACAAGATGCACGCACAGCAAAGAGGTGCACGAGATAAGTGAAGGCGTAAGGAGCAGTGAGATGATGTACACTTATGAGGGGTGCCTCACTACCGTGTGTAGGGCGTATTTAGATGTGGTTCTGCTGGTGGTATAGAGCTAGGGCACGAATCATCACTTCTCATCCCAGCCGACGCTCTTGACACGCATGTCTCCATCGTGTACCGAACACAGCGTCTGAGTGCTTGCGGTTGCATATGGCCAGGGCTAGGGACGGGGAATGGACAGTGACACAGACATGCAGTGTACATCGAGAAAATACAGTGGCATGCAATTGTATGTACAAATGCATAAGCACTGGCACAGACAGCTTTCTTCACTGGGTTCAGTTCACAGATGAATCACATTTGGATGCAGTGTATAATATATTACATGTTCAGAATACACACCTTCAGCACAGCATTCACAATAGCTTGCAAACTATAGGTTGTACTACACACAGTCACTGGGAGTGAGTAGAGAAAGTCTCACCGTTCCTCCCGAGGATGGCCACATGGCTCATGTCCTGAGACCAGACCACGTACTTTGCCTTGGCCACTCTAACACTGCTCAGTGTCCTGGAGAAATAATATCGCCACAAATACTAGCATACACTGACTACACCAGGCTAATTGTGCATCTGCTAACTACCAGAATGAAGAAATAACACAGTAACACAACTTTGTCTTGGGACAGGCTCTAGATTACTGTAAGACACACACACATAACCAAAAGGGAAACAATTACTGAGTACTGTACATCAGACGTGGCTGAACGAACCTGGCTGATAGCACGTAAGTAAGTGTATATATAATTACGTACATGTTAATTAAGGACATGCTAATGTGTAAAGCTGATGATGTATCATCACCATTTACAGTGAGTGTCAGTGTCACAAATGGTTGAAGAGTCCTTGTATGAGATAATATGGCTCATGGTGTGCCATTTAAAAAATGTGGACATGCATATGATAGATGTATATCTACCTCTTTTGCTGGACATCAAAGAGTTTGACAGTGTCAGCCTCCTTGAGGAGCAGATGACCCGTCCCGGCATAGAAGACGCTCTCACATGGTGGACACTGGACCTTCTTGGTCACCTCGTTACTGAGGTTCTTGACTATCAGCTACATACACACAACCAGACACACACAGTCACACTTCTATAATACACACCTTCAGCACAACATTCAACTATACAATATTGCAGCATGCACATTCAATTCGGTAACAAAGAGTACAAAATGGAGACTTAATGTCAATAAACCCCAGAGGACCTGGTGTGTCTTGTCCAGGACTGCAAATCTGTTCCTGGCCAGCCAGACGGCAGTCAGACCCGATGAACGCTTCCCCTCCACAACTGCACATTGTGTATGGGAACATTGTCTGTATCTCATCCAGCTACACGACACAGTGGCAATATTTAACCGAGAGTCAGGCTCTAACAGTTCCCTCTCTCTATAATGTGGCAGTACATAAGGGCAAGATAGAGGCAAGTGCAAGAATGCAAAGAATTTCAGAATTTAAGCTCTTTTTTATACTGCCGCATTCCCTGTAGTTCGCTGCTTATCCTTCATGTAATAAACAATACTGAGGTGTATTGTAGCGCATGTTTCTTACACTCGGGATTGGAGGGGTCAGGGTTCTTGGGCATGGTGAACAGCTCGTAGAAGGCATTCTCAGATGACGTAGTATTCTGTGAGGACAGGACACCAACACATCAGTTGCCTCACGACACACAATATTGGCATACAAACAGCAGTCTGGGCTATTGGCACATACAGGCAGGCACGTGAAAACTAGTTGCCTCGATCATGGCACTCAGTACTGCCACACAAAAACATTAGGTGCCTAATGGCACACCAAACTGAAAACACAAAACACTGTTGCCTAATGGGACAGTAGTGGTGGTCATGTTGTACACGTACAGAGCAGAGGAGGACGGCCTTCTCGGCTGCGTTGTACGCCAGGAGATGAGGAGCAGCACGATATGAGCCTCCAGCCCTGTGGCAATCATGACAGGGGCACATTCAATCACAATATGTGAGCTAGTTATCAATCATTGGTACTATGTGAGCTACTACACACCTTGCTTACTCCTACGGTTCCATAATGTAATTACTACACATGAATAGGAATACACTTCACACCTCCTAATGGCCATGACAGGGACATCTTTGGAAGTGCCAAACTCGTATTTCCTCAGGAACCTATCCTTGACATAGTAGAGTGTGTTCTGGTGGACGGTGAAGGCCGGTCGCTCCCGCTCCATCTTGAACACCATCATCCCATTGTCGTGACCTGGACAGTGAGACATCACCATACTAGGATTCACAAAATATCAACAGTTCTTAAATAAAGAGTCCACCTTCAAAATCTCAATATTATACACAGTATTTCAGAACCTTGTACCGTGCAATGATGTACAGCATTTATTAGCACACACCAACACTGTACAGTACACTGTTATATATATACCTGCTGCAAAGACATTGAGAGTGGGGTGGGCAGCTACTATCCAGAACCTGTCCGAGTCCCGGCGAAACGTGTGGATACCAGATCTGAACAGACACATATATCACATACACAATAACAGATCACCCACAACTACCTAACACACAGTGCAAGGACACTACAATAGTAAGTGGGAAAAAAAGAAGGCTACTCGACCAATAAGAATAGAAAAAGCTGTTGTTACACACCAAAGCCAAAAAATGAAGTCCTTTGGTTCACTACACATAATTATATGGCAGGACATTAACAGCTGAACCTTAACTTTTAAGATACAATTCCACCACTTTGAGCACCATGCAGACCTCAATCAAAACTACAGATAGTAGGGAGTTGTATCATAGAAGACACAGACCGTTTGGTGAGGTCCCAGAATCGGATGCTGCGGTCCTCAGAGTTGCTGACGATGAGCTCCTGTCTCGGGTGGAACATGGCACACGACACGTTGTTATAGTGACCTCTACAGGTGTCCACCTCCCATGCCTTGGCATCTGGTGTCGGGGACATTGGCCAGCAGAGACAGCAGAACAATCACAGGGTTAACACTGCTACAGTAACATTCATGTATACAAGATTGTATAACTGATCAAACATGCATAGCTCGTCATAAAAGTCTGCTTCAACATTTACAGGGACCCAGAGTCCATTTAATTCACATACAATTAACATAAAACAGGGTATTTTCTGAGGACAATCAAAAATTGAGAGGTAATCTTTTGACCCCATATGCTTGAGTTTCCCCTTGAAAAATTGGTGCTGAATAGCATGCACGCAAATTGTACAGCACTATGTACACGGTGGTGTATGTATGTGGCAGACCGTTCATAAAAGCCTGCTTCAACATTTACAGGGACCCAGGGTCCATTAACACATCATTAACATAAAACAGGGTATTTTCTGAGGAGTAGGAGGTACAGCTCACAATCAAAAATTGAGAGGTTATCATTTGACCCCATATGCTTGAGTTCCCCCTTGAAAAATTGGTGCTGAATAGCATGCACACAAATTGTACGGCACTATGTATGTACACAGTGGTGTATGTATATGTGGCAGACCGTTCATCCTCCACAGTTTGATCTGTCTGTCGTCAGAGGCCGAGACCAGGAGAGGGAGGGTTGGGTGGAAGGAGACCCAGTTGACTCCTCGGTCGTGTCCCTAACAACACCACAATCAACAGGTACACTTCGTATCACATCTCAACAACATTTTAAATCCACCACTATATTGTACTGTATGTTAATTCTATTTCCTAATGCGAGTGTGGTCATCTGCTGCATGGTGAGCTAACTCAAGAACACACTGCTAAACCTCAAAAGGATAATGGTACATGACAACAATGGTACAGATAACTGAAGAAATAGCACAGGCAACTTCTAATGATCACAACCCTGTAAAAACTGTATATACACACAGTAGTATATAGATGTAGTTGTGAGTGCAAGTGTCAGACCTCGAGGAGATGTTTGACAATGGCATCAGCAGAGCCAAACAGGTCGGTGGACCCAGAGCTCCGGAGATGGTCGTCCAGACCACTAGCTCCCGGGGCCACCGTCTTCTTACGCAGACCTGTAGAGGCACATGTGGTGGTGGCATAAACGTGGCAAGACACACACACACACACACAACACACACACCGCACCGATCGAGTATTTTTAAACCTTGCTGCTAATGCATGCCGATCGAGGGTTGATTAATGAAGCTTCTTTAGACTCTTTAGCACAAGCACCTGCAATAAGGGTTACACCCCCAAACCCCCTAATAAAGGACAATCTCTAAAAGTGGCAGGGGTTGGATGCACCAAGGTGCTCTTTTATTAAGAGGCCACACTATATACATACACACACAGCAGCATCTGGTAGTGGCAACTCAGGAATGCAGACCATACATATATACCACAGAGCATCAACCCTGGAGGAAGTGAGGGGGGAGAGGAGACTCACCAGAGATGTCCCAGATTCGGATGGTCTGGTCGAGAGAGGCTGAGGCCACCAGGTCTTCCGTGGCATGGAACTGGGCACACATCACATAGTGGTTGTGCCCCGTCAGAACACTGCAGCAGGATTTACAACACAGGGCTAATAGCAGGCACAATTCACATGTAAGTACAGGGTTAGAAGTGAGACCAAAGGTGCTTTCATTCATGTACATGTAAGTTCTTGCACATACACTGTATGTATACATATACAATTCCACATTTCAGTGATGTCGCTTCACACTACCCATGCATGCATTACACGAAAGTGTGTGTCAATTGGAATTCACTATTGGCAGCCTGTCCTCAAAACACTTGCAGGTACTATGTATTTTGTGACTGCGATATATTATTCTCCTATATAGTAGCTATAGAGGTGCTAAGAATAACATCTTACGAGATGCAGGTTCGAGACTGCCAGTTCCAGATGCGAATGGTCTGGTCGTCCGACGCACTGATAACCCACGGATACTCCTATATATGTACAACAGTGAAAATAAAAACACGGAAGTGAACCGGAAAAACTACATTGGATTTTCTTAAGTAAAAAGAAGGAGTAAAACAATAACACAAGACTACTGAACATGAAAACAAACGGGGAAATATAATAGCTTTAGGATAAAAGAACAAAAACATTGTATTCGACTTAGCTACATGTGCACAAAAATCATTACACGATACACCTTGCATGGAGATGTCGACATCCTTTTTCAAAACTACAGACACACGCTTCCTTTTTCAAAACTACAGACACACGCTTCCTTACCCCCCATAAAAAATTAAAAAAACTACAGACACACGCTGGTACACAATCACACACAGATCCACACACGCACCTTATGGAAGAAGGTGGTACGGATGTAGTCGAGATGACCGAGCAGAGTGAAGAGACAGCGCTTCTGCTTGTAGTTCCACACCTGCAGAATAACGTCATTAGCAAAAAAACATGCAACCTAGTACAGTAAACATCTTTACACACTAGTGAATGTCTGCAGGTATCTGTTCATTGCACACACATGCATGTAAAGATGAAATCGCCACTGATTCATGTGGAACCAATCTCGAGGACTCTCCTGAGATATTGCCTACATATTAGTCCCCAAGAGCAGTTTATATTGAATCCCTGAAACAAGGACACTACCAATAATTATGGGAATTTCCCCCTGTCCAATTGGTGTCCAGGCTCCACTGTACGAACCTTGATCTTGTAGTCGTCTCCACCAGACACAAACAGTGGCTGGTTGCTGTGGAAGTCTATCCCTCTCACTGGACCTGCAAATTGCAATAACACGCTTATGTGTACATGTACATGTAACAATAGACCATGATGTACACATCAGTAGATATTGCGAGGTGAACTGCTGCATTATAGGCAACGACTGTATAACGTGAAACTTAGAGGAAAATACTTTCGTTTAATAGCAAAGGAGAATTTTGCTCAAAACGCATTCTCAGACTGCCTGTCCTCGGCCAAAACATTGACATAGGAAACTTGCACGTTGTACTATAAATCCATTCAACATTTTACCCCATAGTTTTATTACTAGGAGTTAGAGAACACAGCAAAGGAAGCTGTGACAGACATTTATCAGTCAGTCTGACTATAATGAAAAACACACACACACACTTGTTGAGACATACAGAGGAAGTTTTCAAAGTTTTCTGAGCATGCACACAATTTACCGTCGTGTTCATCGTATCTGTCGATGAGTGTGCACATGCGGTAGTCCCAGAGCTGGATGACTCCATTGTGGAGACTGGCCAAGATCCAGGGTCGAGACGGATGGAACGACAGTCCTGGGGGAAGACAATTGGTAGCATATTCCTAATTATTGCCCACTACAAAAACTTCGTGTTCGCTCTAGGGTATTGGGTAACCACGAAACTCAGGAGAAAAGGGAAGTGTGTAGATGCTCTTTAGCAGTTGTTTGCTAGAGTTGAAACTTAGAGAGGGGAACGAAAGCTCACCTTTGACCCGATGAGATTTGCTTTCAAACTTTATCAACATGGTTTTCCTCGCTACTTCCCAGCGATCTTCCAACACAGGCGATGAGGAGCAAAACGGGCAACGGCTCACCAAACGATGCTATATAGCTGCAAGCACTGACTGCGCCCTGCACTAGCTTCGGTCGCCACGCTGGACGCCACGTCACAAGGCCGTTTTTTTCGGAGATTACGGAGAAATATGGTTACGTCATACACCTGCGCAGAAATCCCAGCTCAGAAGTAAGCGCGCATGATGAGTGGCCAAGAGAGCGCTGCAGGTCTTGAAGTGTTGCCCTCTCCTACATCCACTGCGGGCCCAGATCCCCTCACAGGAGCAGTGACTACTCCAGCCAGAGACCCAGCCCAGAGAACTACCTTCAGACCACCTCATCGAAGACTCTCAGCCTCCTCCTCTAAAGTCCATGCAGCCTTCAAGTCTCCTCTCAGAACATCACCCACCTCATCCACAGACACTACCTCTGTCAGTACACCAACAGGCAACAGCTCTAGTAGTAAAATCCCAACAGCACAGCAGTCAATCAAGGCCACACCACCCAGCTCAGGTGTCACTGGCTCGGCGAGACATAAGCCATATTCCCTCACGCCCGTTCGGTCACGCAGCACTCAATCCAACACAGTCAGAGTGACGGCAGAGACTGAGGAGAGCCTCAGAGCTGATATAGCAAGACTCAAGGAGCAGATACGAGCTAACGAGGCTGAGATTGAGGAACTGTCTCAGGAGTACAGTGAGGACGAGCTCCAGCAGTACATTGAGCACCTCCATGAGTACAATGAGATCAAAGATGCCGGGCAGCTCCTGCTGGGCAAACTGGCTGAAGTCCAAGGCACGACTGTTTCTGAGCTCTATCGGCAGTTTGGTCTCAGTCTTGATGACTAATATCTGATCGCATTGATTCGTGCACTGACCCATCATATCACATTCTGTCATAGGTTCTTGAAGAGCAACGATTAATTTACTAGAATTGGTGTAGCTCACAAAATATATCTCAACCTATGGATGACACATGTCGTGATTCATTATTCCTCGTGCATAGTTGGTTCTTGAAGATAACCGTACCGGGATTTTGGCTAGTCACAAAATTCCTTATGGTCATTGCCAAAAATATCTATGCTGTGTGTGTGTTTGTTTCCTTGAGTTATCTATATTTGTCTAGTTGCACAAACTCAGTATTGGCACAGACATTTCCCTTATGACAACCCAATGCCGTTGTTTATTGTAAGTTGTGTTAACAAAGGCTTTCCTTCTTTGGACTTTGCTGAAGTTGAAAGTTATAGTAATGCGCAATACACTCAGCTATTTGCAATACAGGCTTTCCTGTATATTCAGTGGTAAGTGTCAGTTGCTGCAAATTCTTTGTGAGAGGCAATCCTAACTAGCTGGATGTAAACAGAATACAGACAATCACCCCTGCCACTGCAGTATCTAGGAAACTAACAGTTTGTCATTACTGGAAGGTGTGTAGCTAGCTAGTATAGCTGAGAGATTAAGATGGTACTGCTGGAGTGTCTGTGGCCATTGCTGTTCCTGTGGATATCAGCCTTCTCCTGCTTCACCTCTGCAGGTCAGGGGACTAGCTACTGCATGATGTGGGGCTGTAGTGTCATTCTTATCTATTGGAGCCATGATTCTTGTCACAAGACTAAGACATTATAAAGTTTTTGCTGTAGCTCACTCTTTCTCAACCACTAATAGCTAGTTGTAGCTACCTTGTAACTTTCAGACAGGGATCTTAGCTATAGCTAACCCAAATCTCATGATGCTTCTGTTTTCCCGATATGTAGGCATGATCACTCTGGACAGTTCATCAATGGAAGTGCAAGAGGACAGTGGCAATGTCATGGTGTGCTTGGAAACAGATGACGCTATATGTCTCAGTGTACACTCACAGGAGAAAGAAGCTGGTATAGTAGCTATAATTATGTACCACCACAACTACTTTTAGATGAAAGTAATGGCATAATTTCGCTCTGCAGAAGAAGGCGTGGACTATAAGACTGTGAACACAACACTGAATGTGATGGCCGGTGGTCATCACTGTGTGATGGTCGCCATCGAGGACGACAATGTGCCTGAACCCGACGAGACTTTTGAGGTTGTGTTCACTGAGCTGATCCCAGACCTGGCTGGCTGTAGTACGATGGGTGGTGACGGCAGTGGTGGTGCTGGTAGTGGTTGGATGATGATGAAGACTGACGGCATGCTCACGCCAATGGTCTCCAATGAGACTGTGACCATTACCATCATTGACAATGACATGCAGGGTGAATGATATAATGTGTGTGTAACACCTACGGGGACAGAATCATACATTAAGGTGCTTGGGTTGTACAGAGTTAAAACATGTGACTATGGTAGATAGCCAGGCCGTGTAATAGCTGGAGTGGATATGTTTGTGGCCCTTCATGAGCTATGAGGTATGATGAGGTATGAGGTAGATAGCTAGGACTGTGTACACAGTGATGAACAAAGGACTAACCATAAACACTGAGCTACAGTTATTTTCACTGTTCATTTATCTTGAGGAAAACATATGCTAAGTTTTCGTAACAAGTTCCCCGCTAAACAGTATTTGTTTGTTCTGCATAATGTACACCATCACAGAGAGAGGCAGCACTCCAGGAGATAGATCAGCAGCTATAGCTGGAGCCGTATGTGGGTCCTTAATTGCTGTCATTTTCATCGCAATTATCTGGTGAGTATATATATGCCACCTACAAACCAGCGCTGTCTCTTCTAGAAAACTGTGGAGGGATGGTAGCTATAATTATACATCAAGGAGGGATAAACAAGCGAAATGTGATTTCTTCACTGCAACACCAATGTGTGTGTGTGTGTATACTTTCATCCCTATAGCCTGATAGTATTCAACTACTTCAACATGAGGAGGAAGAGGCTACTGTTGTTCAGAAGCACTGCCATTGACCACTCCTACATAGAGTTCAATTCCAACGTGATACACTCGAGTCACAACGACTACGATGGACTGTCTACAACAAAAGGTAAGACAGTGAAAAATCCAAGCTCTTATACAACGAGGTTGACCAATGGTACTATTGACTGTAGATCGGTATTCTGCTGGGTCCCTGTCACCTACTGCTTCTGGTATGTACAACTTTTACAGCTACCGTGAAAATCTGTCCACCTTATATTCCCTCACAGTTCACGAGGCTATTGCTGATGTGCCACCACAGGAGTTTTCAGCCTATGTGAAGGAGCTGCACAGAGATGCGGACAGGGGCTTCAGCCTGCAGTTTTCTGCCCTCCAGGCACACAGTCCGACCTCCATACCCTGCCACACCTCCCAGCTGGACAAGAACATGGACAAGAACCGCTACCAGAACATCCTGCCATGTCAGTGAAACCGTTTGATAAAAACACGCATACACGCAAACACTAAACAAACTGGTGCCCTCTTTAGACTTGGGTGCATGTATGATGTTTGGATTGAAAGTAAATGCATGCTTTACATAGCACAACAAAGATTCCTTACATATGGTTGTATGTAGTGAGAGAATAATCCGTGCAAAAACATACTCTGGTTGACGTGTAACTGTTTCTGTACAGATGATGCTACCCGCGTCATTCTTACCTCCGCCCACAAGAAACAGTCAGACTACATTAATGCAAGCTGGATCAACGTGAGTTGTCAAGATAAATACCACTATGCAACAAGCAGGTTGAAATTGTATTTGAAATTTGCAGGGTTATAGGAAAGAGAAATCCTACGTGACTTGCCAAGGTATAATGATACTCTGGAACCAGTACTTGATCGTATTCATGCCGACATCATGTTACTAGGACCCTTGCCAGAGACAATTGGTGACTTCTGGCGCATGGTCTGGGAGCTCAAGATACCCACCATTGTCATGCTCACCAAGACAGTGGAGGCCAACAGGGTAGGTATAGACACTAGAGCAAGCAACACTTAGAGCGAGCAATACTTAGAGTGAGCAAACCTACAGTGAGCAAACACCTACAGTGAGCAACACTTAGAGTGAGCTACACTTAGAGCGAGCAACACTTAGAGTGAGGTGGTAGGATCACAGAGTGTGCAGTGCTATATTATAATTTATATAAATGGTGTAGCACTGTGGATGTATAGGATTGTGGTGGTATTAAGGCTCAGTGTGATGTTTTGGACGGCTCCAGGTGAAATGTGAGCAGTACTGGCCAAAGAGAGTGGAGAGACAGTCAGTGTGGATAACGATCGACTACTTGTATTGCTGAATGAAGTCGTTCCTTTTGCTGACTATGAACTGAGGAAAACTACTATTACTTTGTAGTTGAATGATAGCTTAATACCATCCCACAAATTCTTTGTGATTGACATTAAACTGTTTGGTGGAATTAAGAAGGTATATACATGGATTTGTGTATATATACATAGCTAACACTTATAGTCCAGTATTACAATGTCCTGCAAGCAGCAGTGTTCCTTAGTCATGGTTCCTTAGTCATTGCTATTGGAAGCTGCTTTGTTCAAATGAGATTATAGCAAGGTGCCAGATTCATTGCTGGTTGATAATAGAGATCAGCTGTATGTCTGTATGTAGCTATGTAGCTATGGCCAACAGGGGTAAGGCTACATGATATGAGAACTGGATCAGATCTCTATGTATATAGCTTGCTGTCATAGAACTTCTCAAAGTTATGATTGCAACTCTCTAGTCAGTAGCAGGTCATCATGTCTCCCAATGCAGGAGAAGAGAGAGAGACATAGTCCACTACTACTTCCAGTCATGGCCAGACCACGGAGTCCCCGCTATGCCACAGCCCTCCTGGGATTCATTCGAACGTCCGCAAGTCCCACTCCCCTCAGACCGGCACCCCTCCTCGTTCACTGCAGTGCCGGAGTGGGTCGGACAGGGACATTGATTGTCCTCGACATCATGCTCCAAGTACTAGAGGCCCAGGCTGGTATCAATGTCTACCACTGCCATTTGAAGCTGAGGAGACAAGCGCTGCAGCATGGTCCAGACTGAGGTAGGGAAGGTACATTATCATTTCTGGTTAGCATAGAGGTACGTGTAGGCAATAATATAGCTAAGGTATAACAGTGTTTCTTTCTTAGCTCTCTGCTGTTCAATGTGAATCATAGGTACCTAATCCTCCTCGTGCATATTTTTACACTATGTCCATGTAGGCACAGTACACCTTCATCCACGATGCCCTGGAGGAGCTGATCACATGTGGGAAGACTGAGATATCAGCCATGAACCCTCCGAATCGCCATGAAGAGGCTCGGTGCTGCCTGATACTGAACAGAGGCCACAGGATTTCAGAAGCAATTTGAGGCAAGGATTGCACAACTGTTTCAGGCCATGATACACGATGCGTTAGAGAAATTTGCATTCAACTTCAAATGCAAAGGTATGATAGACAGTGCAACAAAGTTGCATGGATTTTTTTAATTGCGGGCAACATGCGCATCATAGTTACCAAAATGTTGCATGCAACTTTGTCTCACACACCTCTAGTTGCATGGTGTATCATAGCCTGTAGATCAGTAATGAAACAAGGTTTTGTACAGTTTATTATGATCTATCAGTACTCTCTATTTCACCACAGCTGTTGGAGCAGGTGACACGTCAGCCACAGAAGAAGGACGTCGAGATTTCCCAGAGGATTGTGAATATGGGCAAAAACAGATATCCTCGACATGTTGCCCTGTCAGTTAATCCCACTGCACTCGCCGTGTGCTAAGTTTTATGTTTCTTGCTGTGCAGATGATTTCCAGAGAGTGTGTCTGAGGCTGACAGGTCAACCAGGCTCAGACTACATCAATGGCAGTTGGATCAATGTGAGTTGCAGCACCAACATGCATCAACAAGAATGTAAGGAAAACTGAATGCACATGAGGCACACAGTAATGAATGACGGCTAACTGAGGTATATAGTTGATGACAAGAGAAGCACATGGCAAAGGGGGGCAATGGTCTAATCGTGTGTTGTTGACGTTGTCGTTGTTGTTGTTGTTGTTGTTGTTGTAGGGCTACAGGCAGTCCAATGCCTTCATGGTGACCCAGGCTCCGCTGGATAACACAGTGAATGACCTGTGGAGGATGGTGTGGGAGTCTGGCAGCAAGACCATTGTGATGCTAAACGACCTACAAGATGACATGGTATAGCTAGCATGTGACAGATTGCACCATAATATATACCTTTGTGCTTCACCCCACCCCCCTATTTTCGTGTAAGTATAGTCCTGTACTTGTCCCGCATATTAGAGAACACTGTAAGATGCAAGCAACAGAGACATTAGGCAGAATTCTAATATCTTATGCCCGGTGTTTTTTCTTTGTAGGCTCAATACTGGCCAGAGCCACAGAAGAAACAGGTGTACGGCAGTCTCACAGTTAGCAGCAAGACAGAGGATGGGGTAGACGATACTGTCTGCACCAGAGCATTCGAAATCTACCGCAACGGTTCAGTAGCATCTGTGAGTGAAGTTAAACCCGTATATACCACATCTTCAACTGTGAGATAGATGTCTGCTGTAAAATTATACTGGTGTTTTACAGCCCCTGCAGGAAGTGAGAACGGTGACTCAGTTCCACTTGCGAGGCTGGCCTCGGGATGGCCTCCCCTCCCAGTCCAGCCTCCTCCTGGACCTGGTGGACAGAGTTCTCAAGAAACAGAGGTCCACTGGGAACAAACCTGTCACTGTCATGTGCTCGTAAGTTTGCTGGCAAACGATTCTTCTGTAATTGTCTTCTTGGAGATCTGTAGCCCCTCATGGAAGTGATTACTGGTATATAACGCAGCTTTCATAGAGTAGCATCGTAATTGACGTGAAATCGCACAGCATGAGAGTACTTTACATCAAATGTAATCATCTTTTGGATGTATTTGTGACTCATAATCGAGATATAATTATGTATTGTCGACGAATGATTATTAGTGTATGACGATGTATCTCCAACTCCTTGTTGCAGTAATGGTAGTGGGGCGAGTGGAGTGTTTGTGGTGCTGTACTCTCAGCTGGAGAGACTCAAGACTGAACACGTTCTCGATGTCTTCCAGGGGATCAAGGCAGCACGCACTCAACGCATGGGCATCGTGCACAACGCTGTAAGTCAACCATAAGAAGTTTAGTTACAGTTTTCAAGCCTCTATTTTCAAAAACCTACTGTTAAAGCACAAATCAAACATATCATAAAGAACTGTTCAGTAAAGCTATATTTCTCTCTTTCAGGAGTGCTACAAGTTGATTCACCAGCTTTTGCTGGAGTTCCTCACATCCTTTCAAGACAAGAACTATGATAACTTCCGAGAGTAGCATAAATGTATGTAACTGACTCATTGTGTGTGTGCTGGTTTTGAATGTAGAGTAACATAACACATTAATTTTTTTATCACGCTATACACAGTGGATCCAGGTGATAATCGAACCAGCTGCGTCTCGTGCTAATAGTGTAGCCATAGAGTTCTTGGCCTGCATGTACATTCATAGGGAAAATTCATTAGTGACTTGTTTAGGGGACATTGCTTGATTGTCAATTAATAATAAAACGTGCAGATGGGGCTAGTTCGTGGACATGCTCTGCCCCCATATTGGGTGAAGCCTTGCCATACCGCATGTAATAATAGAAGGGCATACCGGGATGACGGGGGGAGGGGGGTGGCCATGGTGTTTCCATGGGCAAGTGACGCGAAGCGACGTAGCCTGTTACAATGTAAAGAAAGGGAAGCCATTTCTGAGAGAGCGGTGGATTCACACATGCTAACAACAATAGCATGCTTATGCCAGTCCATTCATGATCCCAAGTGGCATTTTCACACCTATATATAGTTATAACTCATGGGTCTCTTCTGCCAAGCCAGATTGTAGCTGCCTAGCTATATACCCAGCCAGAATTTGGTCAACCTAGATTTGTGCTATATATCAATGACGATGGAAGAGAACAGAGTAATAAGACCAAGGATTGATGCTGAATGCAAAGGTAAGCCCAAATTTTGCATAGTAGCCTAGAATTCTGGTGGTAGGAAGATTCTTCCATGCCTCCACCATCAGATTTGTCTCATGTTGTAAAGGTGAGCTCATTGGGCAACATGGTGAGGTGGCTTTCGGCCAACAATGACAATCTCTTCAAGAAAGAATTCCAGGTTCGGTGGTGTGTGTGTTCGTTTGTTAACGGTTCCGCCCATTGCTCTGGGTGCGTGGTCTATGGCCCTAGTGCTATAGCTGCCACCTGCAGCATTATATGTACTATTATACTTCCAGGTTTTATCTTAAAAGTTTTCGTGAGACAATCTATCTAGCTCTACACGTCACACTATATTATAGCATAGCTTAATGTATGGATGTGCTAAACACACTGTATAGGATGTGGAGGAAGAGGTGAAGTTGAAGGCAAGTGAGGGACTCAAGCCTTTCAACAGAGCCAAGAACCGCTACAGCACTGTCATAATATCATGTCAGTGACCACAGTATAAAATCGTGGCCACCTCCTGGCTAGCAATGTGTGAGAGTGGTATATATGGTGGATGGGTTTTATATCAATTATACTGCAGCATTGCGGTATAATAGTTTTGGTAACCTGGAAATGCAGATGATGACAGTAGAGTGATGCTAGAGAACACGAGAGAAGATGGATCAGACTATGTCAATGCAAGTTGGATTGGTGTGAGAGCTAATAGCTAATCTATTTGAAAGATAATATATGATGGCAGTCATTGCCACAGGGAGAAGATGGGAGACCGAGGACATACATTGCTGCTCAGGGTAATGCTTTCCTCCAATATATCTGAATTTTCTGATCATGTTGAGGTTTACGCTGTATTGAGCAGCTCCACTGCAGTACACGGTGTGTGACATGTGGCGAATGGTGTGGGAACACAGGGTTGGAGTCATTATCATGATCACTGCCCTCACTGAAGCTGGAAACGAGGTTAGCACTACAAGCTCACCAGTCTCTCAAGGGGCACAGACATGTAACGGCAGTCATAGCAGTCAGCCCACAAAGCTCTTGCGTTCTCATTGGTGCTTTAGTAGTTGCAGCGTTAGTCAATAGGGGTTACCTTATAGCATGCAGTCTCTGTGAACCTGACATTTTTCCTACCAGAAATGTGTGCAGTACTGGCCAACCAGTGTTGGGGAGGTTCTGACTGTCGACAGCAGCAGGATTGGTGCAGAGCTGAGGGTGATACTCAAGACCAGTGAGCCACAGAGCCACTGGCAACACAGAGTCTTCACTGTGGAAGAGATGACTCACTACCAAGACCAAGTAAGTGCCACCTACTAATGAGTAGTGTCTTCTTTTTTAAATAGCTATGCTCTATCACAAAACGATATCTTGACGTATCAATGGGCATGCAGGAATAATTTTAGAACCACTTTCGTAACTGACTCTTGAGAGCACAAGAACAATTAAATTTTAACTGTTCTTGTGTAAAATTATTGAGCCCCATAATAATTTTTGAAAGCTCTGCCCCCTGTGTTTCCCAGGAGGAAGACCCACCACTCACAGTCCACCACTATCACTACACAGACTGGCCTGACAGTGGAGTCCCCTCTCCCTCCTCCACCTCCTCCACCTCCTCCACCACGTACACACAGCTCACCCCCTCCCCTCCTCACCACAGCAACACTCGCGGCCACTGCTGGTCCACTGCACTGCGGGGGTGGGTCGGACAGGGACTCTGCTGGCTGTTGACAGACTGTTGAGACAGGTCAGGGCTGGGGCCCAAAGTGTGAATGTACTGCAGACTGTCAGGGAGCTCAGGAGATGTCGACCAGGGATGGTCCAGAATGAGGTGGGACTCAGCAGTACTGTGATGATTGTGCATGCCGAAAACCTCATTCCCAGGCCCTCTCTCACACAAATTGTCTGATAAAAGCCAAAGCCACTTCAATGTCTCACGTTCAAAATCCTACTGCTAGGGTGGTTTTTTTGTAAAAGTTCATCTTCCTTAGTCCCAATGTCTCAACCAGTCACAATCCTACTGCTAGGGTGTTTTTGATCTTCCTTGGTCCCAAAATTGCGACACATTTCCACGTCCAAAAAATAAGTGCACGCGCAGTCGGGGTAAACGAGACTATTATAGTAACTAAAGAGACCCAAGTGTAACATTATCTGAATTCATTAAAGTTTTTCTACTCCATGCACACATGCTACTGTCTAGGTGCAATACAAGTTTATCTACTCTTGTCTGGATTATGTGGTGAGAAATGGTCTACCCAGTGACAACAGCTCAACGGCTGACCACCTGCACTCTGCCACCACTGTTCCCGACTCGATCCAATCATCCCTGTCAAGTTCAGGGGCTAGCACCTCTGATGACTTCCCCACAGAAACTCTAGAGCACTTGAAAAAATACTTGCTCAGAGGATCTACACACTGCAAAGCAAAAATCATACTGTGTTAAAAGTGAAATGTTAAATAAAACAACGACAATATAATATGCAGAATGAGAAAGTCAAAACTCAGGCCTGTCAGGCCTAGTCACATCAAGCAATGTAGATGGATCACGACAAGTCCTCTTCTTAGAGTCACACGTACAGCTCCCACACCCACCCATCTCTCCCTTCCTTCTCTCCATACCCTCCCCTTTCCGCCTCCATGATGCCTCCTCCCATCTCTCCCTTCTCCTCCTCCCTCTCCTCCCTCACTCCATACTTCTTGACGATTGCACTCATGTTCCCACCAGTGGCCTTCCCAATGCCTACTCGTGGGTAGACCTCTATTGAGCCCCTCCACGGAGAACACAAGCCTTGCATAGGATCTGACTGGAGATGTAGCCACAGCGAGAACACGTCCCCTGAACCGGCATCTTACATCCCCCTTCACGGCGAGACTGGTCTCCCGAGTGAATAATGTCAATGATGGTGCTGGGTCTTATTCTCTCCAGGGTCTTTGAGGTAGGTCCTGCATGGCCACGGTAGGCGTTGGGAGAGTAGACACACTCAGTGGAGAAGTAGTCGAGCTTCTTGAAGTAGGCGTACATTACAATTTCCTTCTCGTAGGTGTATTTGAAGGGCTTGGAGCGAGGGATGGCTCCCTCGCTACTGGTGGTGATGGCCGTGCAGCGCCTCAGACGAGCCACGTCTCCACGCAGGATATTCATGAGGACCGTCTCGGCAATGTCGTCGGCGTTGTGTCCCGTCACGATCTTGTCAACTCCCAGCATGGCCGCTCCACGATCCAGAGCTGTCGACGAAACACCCCGCAGAACGTGCAGTTGTTCCGGCGGCCGATGGTCGCCACGATGCGGTCCATGGTCCAGCCGTAGAGGTCCTGGTAGGAGAGAATCTTCAGAGGGATCCCGTACTGACGCTCGTTTCTCCGGACGGTCTCGAGGGAGTCGTCTCGGTAGCCAGTGATCCCCTCGTCGATGGAGAGCAAGAAAAGGTCCAGCCCGTAGTCGTGGCGCTCGTTGAGGGTCTTCATGAGGTAGGCCAGCACCGTGGAGTCCTTCCCGCCCGACGCTCCGATGGCTACCACATCGCCTCGCGTGAAGAGGCCGTGGGTCACGATTGTCTGGTGGACTTCCGTCTCAACTGCCTGGAAGAAACACTCCTTGCAGGCTGCCTGACTCGTCTTGGGCCTCTTGAGGACTGCCGGGCGCTGATGGCAGAGCGTACATTCCACTGGCATCTCCTTCTCTTTCCACTGTACTAGCTAGGCCGCTGTCTGGCCGAAAACGTGTCCTGCGAGTTGTGCAAGTTTTCTCTAAATGAAGCGCACCGACGTTGTTGGGGCGCTCCATTTGGAATGACCTCCCGGTTGCTGCAGTTTTGGAGGTGAAACGCTTTTCTACGTCTCACCGTCGTTGGCTACTGACCTTCTCCTGTCGTCTCGTAGAAAATTCATACCACGGTGGAGACCTGTGCGCACTCCTGAGAGCAAGTTCATAATGGGCGGGAAGGCGGAGAGGCTGGTCTGGGTTGACCTCGAGGTATTATACATTTTTCCTCAGCTATAATCTACTCATTGTTGGCAATGGTGCTCTGTTTACCAATGTTTACCAATGCCTTTTCCCATCTCCACCTGGAAATACAATGACCATAGATGACAGGTATGCAGGTATCAAATTCCAAAACTGTGTGTTTGGGAACGAGGTGTTCAATTTTTCAGGCCTGGATGTCAGTAAGGATCAAATACTGGAGATAGCTTGTGTCATCACTGATAAAGAACTGAATGTTTTGGCAGAGGTTTGTGTCTCTCACCATAAATAATAAAGACTGCGTACTAGCATGCTCTCACAAGGTCCTTGATTAGTGGCTTACAAATAGAGACATTTCTCAATTCCCACACTGTGCTGGAGACCACTTGTTTCTCTCTCTGCCTGGGGCAGGGTCCAGACATTATCATCCACCAGTCAGATGAGGTCCTGGGCTCAATGAACGACTGGTGCGTCACTCACCACGGAGAGGTAGATAGTACGTACATATGTACTCATTGGGTTGAACTTGGGACACCATTGGATAACACACCCCTTGTGATTTGAATGCATTTTGTACAATTATCCTATCACCACATTCACCCACATACCGCCAATAGCGGGGGAGACATGCAAGGGAGAAGAATTTTCATTGTCAAAAGTGAATCTTGCAGATAAAATTTCGCGGAATTACTGTTCTGCAATCCATGCCTACGCAAAAAACTTTCTAAGACTGCAATAAACCACGAAGGTTTATTTTTCTCACTCGAAATTTCCTGCTCTATTTGTGGATAAACGTCATATTGATGTGTGTGTGTGTGTGTGTGTGCAGTCAGGGCTAACAGAGGCCAGTCGGTGCTCAAGAGTGGGTCTTGGAGAGGCAGAGGAGCAGATGCTGGAGTTTGTGAAGCAGAATGTCCCGGCTGGCCGCTGCCCCCTGGCCGGGAACACCATCCACATGGACAAGAGGTTCCTCGACAAGTACATGCCGCGGCTCATGCAGCACCTACACTATAGGATTGTCGATGTCAGCAGTGTGAAAGAACTCTGCAGGTATGTACACACGTGGTTGTTTGTGAAGAGCGAAACCTCTTTTCCCATCCATGCGCAATTTAGCACATTCTACAAAATTAATTAGTTATGGCATGGGTGCAAATGACACTTTTTCATGCAGGCGGTGGTATCCAGCAGTGTTTTCTAAAGCTCCAAAGAAACAACTGAAGCACAGGTGTATATCATATTGATATGTAATATTAACAGTTTTAATTTCACATCATCTGCCTCTAGAGCTGTGGAGGACATTAGGGAGAGTATTGCTGAGCTCAAGTACTACCGAGGAACTATTTTTAAGAGTTCTTGAAAAAATAAACTCCCGATTGTAGCTTTGTATACCCCTACGTCTGTACCTGGTCTGCGGGCTAAGTTACTTTTTCTCAGGTGTGACCAAAACCTTGTACACAAATGAAGGTATTAGACCCAAGAGAAAAAAGATGGGAAGCTCTGGACAGCTGTTTCGGGCCCTCATCAGTAGAGGATACAGCAACTTCTCTCTCTGGCATCACGAGTTTATGAAGCCAGGAGCGCAGCACTTATGGTTCTGAACTAATGAGATTCATACCCACAAGGCTTTGGCACTGGTATGTGCTGCTGACCATGCCCAGACGTTCGTGGTTTGGAGCCTAGGCCCCCTCCCCACACATGCTGGTCAAGGAGCCACTCACAATCTGGCATGTAGAGGTTATTATGCAGAATATGAAAGGAGCAGTACAGTATTTGTCGTTACAGGCCTTCAATTTTTGCCTGCAGTTGGGTCGCTCCCGCTTGCCAAAAATGCTTAGGGACCAAGCCAAAAATCTGATCTGCATAGCAACAGTGTTACAGCACATAACACTCATGTGGCCCTAGCACTAGGTCCATCGACTACACACCCAGAGAACACACACATACACACAAACGACAGAATAGCGAGAGAGAGAGAGAGAGAGAACATTGACTCCACAAACTATCCAGAGGTCCCATCCTCGTGCTCAGCAGGTTCTCTCCCTTTCTTTGCCTGCTTCAGTCTATGTTCCTCCAGTTCCTGTAGCAGCATTGCCTGCCGCTCGTCGAGGGCCTTGCTCAACGCTTCCTGGGTCCTCACCACCTCCTCGATCTGAGTTGCCGCTAGCAACTGGATCCCCGACGTCAACTCCTGCGTCGTCTGGATAGCCCGCTCAGTTTGACGCAAGAGACGCATAGTGCGCGAGTGCAACTGCTCCGTGTACTCGCCATAGTCTGGTCGTAGATGCTCGGGTCGTGCGTACACGTGTGACTTGTGGTCCTGTCGCAAGCAACGCTCGCACACCCCCTTGCTGCAGGTGACGCAGAAGTGGGTGTAGGGTTTCCAGTTGTGTGCGTGGCAATTGCGTATCCCCGTGTCGTCTGGCGTGAGACAACTGAAGAAGTAGTCGTTGCTGCGGCGCTCTGTGAGCGAGAGTGTGGTGTGCAGTTTCGCAAAGTCGTCCATGGAGTGGAGGTGGAAGCACTGCTGACAGAGAAACGTGGAGCAGCTCGAGCAGCGGGCAATGGCCGGGGCCAGCTCCTTGTCACCGTAGCGTCGACAGTTGCCACACGGAACGACAGGGACCGGCTCGGGGCTGCTGTAGTATTTCATGAGGTCCATGACGTGCTGGATGGAAAAGTTGTAGGCCAATTGTGTGATGTCGCCGTTGGGAACCTCTGTAGGGACGCCACACTCTGGGCAGCCGATGCTCCCACCCTTCTTGCCCAGCTTGGCTTTCTTGACGGCTTTCTCCAGACAGTGCTTGCAGTAGGTGTGCGAGCAGGCCAGGACACGAGGCTCTTCAAAGTGGGCCCTGCACCCTGGGCACTCCAGCTGTGACTGCATGTTGCGCATGACGGACTTGGACGCCTGTTCCCTCTCGGCTATGAGGAGTCTCGCCCTCGCCACGCTGTCGATTGCCTCCGCCCCAGCATCCGCGTTCCTGCACAGAAAATGTAGGGAGATCCAAATAAAGCGCACCATAACACTAGCGAAAATGCAAGGTAAGGTATATACCCCAACAGATATAAAAGCGTACAAGACGTTACGTACGTACCTCATGATACCAACTGTGGTGGTTTCAGAATCTGGTCGACGATCGATGAATCAGCCCTGGACTGGAGCGAGCCCTGGATCGACAGCAGCAGCACAACACCGATCAGAGACGAGCGATTTACGCATGCGCAGGTTGCCACGTGTTCTCTCTCACAAGGAAGGTAAAAATGGCGACGTTGTGAAAACTAATCTGTTACTTTTCCTTGTTGCAGATGCCGTTTGGTGGAGTGACAGTGAAGGACGTGCCTTCGCACGAGTTTATCAAGGCCCTATCTGAGTGGCTAAAGAAGTAAGAGTTCCTTAGTTGCTCTGTTGTGTGCGTGTAGGGAGACTATAGCTAGACCCTCAAGCGGGCGGTGTTGGCTAGCAGGATTGCGCTTTTACTGTTTAGCAGCGTGTGTATGACAGTCTCCCAACGCATTGGCTATTCAGCTTGTAAATACCGTGCTTATACAGGAGTGGAAAGATAAAGCTCCCGGATTATGTTGACTATGCCAAGACAGCAAAACACAAGGAGCTGGCTCCATACGACAAAGATTGGTACTACGTTCGAGCAGGTGAGAAGGAATGCGTCCCTTCAGTTTGTGTCTTTACAGTCTATTTCGCACAACCTGCAGCGTCTGTTGTGCGACACATCTACCTCAGGAGGGGGGTTGGTGTTGGAGCTCTCAGGAAAGTGTATGGAGGTATGTGCACAGCTCTCTTATCCTCCCAGACTTTATTTGGGGAGACATGGCCTTGTTCCCCTGCTATATACCCTCGTAATGCGAGGGTGAGGGTGGCAGACAACGCAGTGCCAATTCCCTGGCCTCCCCTCTTATGTAGCTGTTGCCTTGTAAGTACCAGCGCCAGTGTCTTCGCCGCCGCGAACTGGCGATCGAATATGCGATGCATGGGGGCGGGGTCTGATCTTTGCGCATGCGTACTATGTAGTTTACACAAGTGCACGCAGTGTGCTTTGTATATACTGCTTTGACAACCATGTGGAGGTATTTGGAAGGAGTACACAGGAACCTCCAACTAAACTTGATTCTGTGCAAATATTTCAATAAATATTTGGGCTGGTGAGAAAGCTGTTGGACTAGTAGAATTGAGAGCCTACTGCCAGTTGGGGAAAATGTTAGTTTGCACCCCTGCCTGGCCTCCCCTCTTATTAGCTGTTGCCTTGTAAGTATTGTCTCCTCGCAGGTCGGAAACGTCGCGGAACACGACCTGGGAGGTATGTGTTGGCCTTTGCCTCTGTACACCGCCACGTCCTCCAGCAGCTGGAGATGATGAAACTTATCGAGCAGGACGAAGAGAATGGGTGAGCTTACAACATACTTGCATAACATGCCCACACGTGTACACACACACACACACACACACAGTGGAGTTTCATGGTTTTTAATTGCTGGTGACTTAAAGCAGTAAGCGGAGTTTTTAGCGAACAAAAGGAGTCAACGTAGTCGTCTGAATTGCACGGTTTTCACATCAGTAATGCGTTAGGGGAATTTCCCCAAAAATTTTGCACATCTGTAGTAGGCTATATACTGTGCACATATTTGTAAGACAGTTTAGTTCCAGCTTGCCCAAATAAATTTTTGTGTATCCAGAGCAACTCCCAGGTATTCAATTAGAGATTTCTCAAATTAGATTTTACCGCAAATCAACACACAGGAAGCAGACAGGATGTACTACAGAATTGTAAAACAGAATCGTTAATAAGTAAAGTTTTGGTTGTTAAAAGTTGGAAACCGAGAGGAATTTAATTAATATTCTCGTTAAAAACTCTTCTATGTGACTTATACGCTTTCACAGCGTCTTCAACTTTTTTTCCCAGCCTTGTGGCCATCCTTATAAGCCTATCTGGCCTTTCTTGCGTGTTTTCAGATCAAATCCACTGATACTGAGTCGAGGGCTGGGTTAATTATAGCCCGTAGATTCACCAATGTGAAATTAGCGTGTGCTCGGCAGTAGACTTTGGCTTGGGCCCAGACTCTCTCGATTGTATTGAGTTCACAGTGGAACTTAGGTAAAAAGAATCCTAAGTGGCCTCTTCCGTGCAGATAATGCTCAAGAATAGTTTTTCATTGGCAAAGTCTTCATGATTGGACAATACAACATCCTCTCTGTTTTGATTCCCCGTTCCCTCAAAATAGTTCGGCTGTGCCATCTTCATTCACCATGCTCTGGGGTTGTCTCCCCCACACTGTGTCGCGAACCCTCTGTGGGCCACCGTCTTTTACCAGGATGTTCTTGGCTTGCAGAGCACGCTCATCAAACTTGCGATGACAGCTGGACGAATAGCCACGTACAGTGTAACGATCACCTCCGTATTTGATATCTGCAATATCCATTCTTCATCTGCTCCATGAAGCGCTCGCCCGTCCAATAACCCTCCTTGTCGGCACCATATTCCAGCAGCCGTCGTGCTACTGGGACAATGCTGGGATAATCCTCCTTCGCCTGCTCCAACTCTTCATCTGTATGCCTGAGATAGCCACCATGCTCTTCCACAAAGTCTTTGGCAAAATTGCTGGTCTCTCTTCCTGCCCCCACATCCACGTCTGTCCTTCATTAACCCTCGCCTGAGGTGCGAATTCTTCATCACTAGAATCGTCGTCATGTTCAGGCTCTTCCTCGGACTGATAAGCAAAGTCAGGGTCTCTTGCTGACGTATTTCCTTCACTGTCCTAGACATCACCCGCCACTCCCTCTGTGCATTCTGGCAGCCTTCTCCCTTTGGCTGCGTTTACGCGACCAAGCCAGACTGCTCGGTGACAGTGGTGAGGAACCCGGCACAGAGGGAGTAGCGTCATCTCAGCCGGCTGAATGTTAGCTTGCTCGTGTCCAGTCTGGGGTTGTGTAGTGGGAGCAGTTTCAGTTGAAGGATCGCCGCCGCGCGGCCAGTGCACTTACCGCCTTGGCTATCGCGGCTTGCAGTCATGCTATTGCCAGTCAGTGGAGTAGTCTCATTCTCAGGGCTCATCCTGGGTACAGAGAGGCTCGATGAAAGACCAGACTCACCAGTTTTTGACGCACGAACACGCTTCATCGATCGTGCCTTAGCAGCTTTCTCACTCTTGTCGCTTGCGGGACCACATACCACGAGTAGCAGTGAAAGGCGGAGCAGGTGTTGTAGAGGTCTCTGTGTTTTCAGAGTCAGACATCATGAAAATAACGCAGCCAAACAGCCGAACAACTTCTTTGCACCTACACGTGTCTTCGCAGCTAGGCGTAATTAATTTTCGCACAATTACGTAATCCTGTTGCCATGGTAATTTACGTGAAAGGGGCGTTCTGATTGGTCAGATTGCATACTTGTCCGAATCAAACCTGACAAAAGCTACATTAGTACAATAAAGTCAAGACATTACAACTGTGTTTTAAGAGTTGGATTCTAGTAATGATTTACACGAATGTAAAATATCCTCCTCGTGTCCTGTTGTTGGATCAATTGGTGTGTGTAGGCTTCATTTGCTGCTACCTCGTCCGTAGAAAGCGGTGCAATGATGTACAGTGTTTCTAATAGGCTCTCCCTCGGTATGTTCGTAGCATATCCGCTGTAGTTATACTCCTCTGTGTGTTGTTGAGTGTGTGAGCCCTTGAGTGCACGGCAATCTTGCAGAATGTGACTTTTTTGTGTCGTCTATAGTGGTCGCAGAATAACGTCAAAGGGACAAAAAGATCTTGACCAGATTGCTGGACAGGTATATAAAACGCTAACTGATCACTGGCCTGTTTCTATATACCCTGGTTTTGTGTTATTTTCACAGGTCATCACAGATAAGAAGAAGTAAATGTGATGTGAACATGTTTATTGTTTTATCACTATCAAATTGCATGACGTGATCGCGAATGTGTAACTCCACATTAGTATATAGGACAAGGACAGCATGCTGATGCAGCATGGACAAACGACTATATGTATATCAGCGCATGCGCACCGCTCCCGTCCGCCGGAGTAAAGTGGCATCTGATCGTCACGCACCGTCCACCCACCATCTCACATAAAGCACTAAAGTGCAAACCCTCGGCGAAGTAGCTCGCAGAGAGCTGACACGGGCTACAGTAGTAGATAGCACGCGAGAGTCGATACACGCCATTCGTTGTGACTTCAAGATGGACAGAGCAAGCGGACCCGGTCGAGGTGCCTGTGCTAAATATAAGCGCATGCGTATTATCTGCCAGCGATAAAATGGCGACTACCGGGCATCATACAATGCTGGAAGCGCTCTAGCTCAGCAACGGATCATTTTCAGAGAAAACCCCACATATTTTCTGACCCTCGTCGCCTGTTTGACTAGATGGTATCGTTTCTGGGACGAACAGACACCCGAGAAGTGAGATTGAGAGTAACAGACACACAGACAGACAGACAAACCCAACTACAGTACCCTCGCTGCACATGCACGCCGAAGGTAATAATATAGAGCGAGGGTGCCTGGAGGTGGAGAGACTTGTCTATTCTGGACAATACAGTGTTGCCACATGATGATTTCTTTATCCTTAGATCTGGAAGTCTCACCTCCCAGACACCGTCCTTAACCCACCCCTTCCACCTGCGACACCTGTTCCCCAGAGCACAATCTGACAAGAGATATATGACTGGAACGGCTAAGATTTTTGCTATATAACCTTTCTTCGTAACCCTGAAGGTCACGAATAGAGAGAACCATCCCACAGCTTAATTAACGCTCTGAAACTATGAAGTGACTGGTCAATACGTAGATAGATTATAGGGTGGTTGATAGTTATTGTCGTGGAGAAGGTGTTCGGCATTATGCGTGATCTGTTGCCTTGTCACTCCTCATGATCAGTGATACACTCATAAATGGCCAAGGGCCCAAGGCTAGAGTGGCAGGGTTTAGAGTGAGCGAGGTTTGAAAAGGCGAAGTTTACTAAATCCCACAGACGGGGTTTTCTAAATAGTAAACCTACAGAAACTACAAAACCTACAGTTAAAACAAAATGTACATGTAATCAACAACTGATCATGAATCTACATTGTGACGCGTCGCGCACGCGCAGACCCCCCCTACGCGCAGAATAACCGTCACGCGGCGCACAACCAGAAAAAGAAGGCGCTGCATTTTCTGCCTCTCTGAGCCAGTCTCCATCCAGTCATCGTTAGAAGCGCTCCGCCATACGAACGAACAGGAAAGCCAGAGCGCTCAACGTGAAGCGCTCACTATAAAATAGTTAACCACGCGCCAGTAAAAAGCCTCGTGCCCCCGGGGGTGTAGCGCCCTCGGGGCGCCACAATGCCGGGGCTGGCTCTCGGCTTTCTACTGCGCGTTGTTACCTCGAATCAGCGTCTAACTATACCTAGATGTTTGCAGACCTCTTCATGTAAGAAGCATAAATTGCACAGTAACATTACGTGTAGCTACAAGACTGAATGGGTCAGAGTGGGCCAACCCTCAATATACAAATAACTCTGCGGTTTTCCTTCAAATATGTTCTAAATGTCCTTAGAACAAACCGGCAATAGTGTCAATAGCAGGCTGCGTCACGTAGCTAGACGTTGCTATTTCCCTTTATTACCCAATTTGGCCTGAAGAATCCGAGAGCCAACACCCCAACCGTCCTGTATGGTAGCTAGGTATGGTCCTTTCAGACTTTCACAGCAACTTGAGTAGGAGGCACATAAAACTGTAGTATATACAGTCCCTAATTATTACAAGTGGAAAAATCATTTCTTCAAAATGAAAGGGAGATATAGGGATGGC